TATCCGTTGTTTGTATCTGTGTCTCCTCGGAACAGTAGCTTCTTTGTAACATGTCGAAAGTCAGACAGGTATATGATGCATATAAGAGGACTGCAGCAAGAGTTTATAAGGAACAGCAGTCTATGTTCGTAAGCAATAAAATTAAAAGATATCCAGTCGAGACAAGCTGAGGTATCAATGATTATCTCGGAGATTGCGTTAGCGTTCGAAGAGTTATTGAAGCGGATCGATCAGTCACTCACTCACTTTCCTGTAAACTGCATTGTTCGACGTGTTCGTTCTCGTTATTTTCGCTGTTGTTCGTTGACTAGGCGTGCTTCGATTGGTTGAGGTCCGAACAGCATTTTAATGGTAAGAATATCAAGAACAAATATTACACAACAAAGGATTATTACTAAGATTTCGTGTGTCAAAAATTAGAATTACATTCGCTTCTTCTATCGGCAAACCACAAGAGCCTTCCGCATATGTGAAGGAACCAAGTAGCGTGGGAATTCACCATCCAGCAGAAGTCGAGCACAGTCAGTCGGAGCTTTCATGAGTAAGGTCGACTGTGAAATGTTAGCTTCGTAGCAGAGATAACCATAGATAACCAGCGATACTCTTAACGAAATTCCACATAGAAATTTCAAAAGCTTACAGACTATGATGCTGAAAGTGTGGAAGCGATTCATACTCCAGCGCGATATTCAGAAAGCCAAGGAACTGCGCCGCTTAGCTGCATTTTCAGCATCTCCATGAAAAAGTGAAATTGCGGAAAAAAAGCCAAGAAGAAAAAAGAAGCAAACAGAAAAAAATCAAAAACAAAAACAAAACAAATAAACAACAGATCAAACAACTTAATTTGTAATACTTGCGGGAACTTCGTCGCCGATGTAGGTTATATATAAGTACTATTCAAATTGAGATTCATTCTTATATTATTCACGAAGTATTATTAAAATTATCTGAAATTGCCTGTATTTCAGCAACTTCAAAGATGTTAAGCTCAAGTTGCAAATGAAAATTTCATTTGTAATTTCAAACTTTAATAGCATTATTTGTTCGCTTGCTTTAGTTTAATTTCATTGGACTTTTCCTCAATAGCCGCCTCAGTTATATTAACTGTTTTAATTGCCATTACATCTGTAATCTCACAATGAATGATGTGTACAATTTCAATTCTTGTTTTCGAAGTAATAAACAATTATCTCAAAAATATATTTTTTTCATATACACGTAAATTTCTCGAAAAATAGAAGATTGACACAAGAGAAAGATTATTTGAACGACAAAAATAAATTTAAATTATTGTCATCAAGTTAACGGCATCCCTTCATAAGCTTTTGTGTACGCTTCGAAAATTAAAATACATCGCATTACATGCAATTATATGTTTTACTTTCTATGAGTCTTAATTGTGGCAAGTCTTAAGGCCAATTTAGACGACACAACTTTTCCCTACAACTATCGCATGCGACCTGCGTAAGTCATCCTTACGAYATGGCTACAACTGTCGCGAGGCTATTGAGCAATTGTTTAAAATCCCTACGACAGTCGTAGCCATGTCGTAAGGATGACGTACGCAGGTCGCATGCGATGGTTGTAAGCAAATGTTGTGTCATCTAAATCGGCCTTTAGAAGACTCTTGATTGTAATATATAATGTTTGTATATAGAATAAATATTAATTTATGTCCTCTTGTATGCATGGTAAGTAGCGGTAAAAAAAAAAAAACAAAAAAA